GAGAGAAAGAGAGAGAGAGAGAGAGAGAGAGAGAGAGAGAGAGAGGCTGGTTTATTTTACTTAGCATGATGTCATGTATTCAAGGGTCCTCTCCAAGTTGTCAGAATTTCCTTCCTTCTTGAGGCTGACTGGCACAACCCTGAGGACATGTCCATTTTACCTTTGCAATCATTCTGCAGTAAAGAGTTCGGCTGGTACTGTGTCTTGGCTGCAGTGACTGAGTTTCAGTTTCTCCACAGGTTACACCTGTTAAGCTCTGGGTTTTCAGACATTTCTACTTCATCAGTGGCACACAATTATAGATGATCCTATCAATGCCAGTGACTGCTTCATCTGCACGTCTGGTTTTAGTAATCCAGCTACCACTGTCAAGAAACCAATTTGTCACTTCTATTATTCTCCTATTATCTATTCTTTTTCTGCTCAAACCTTCACTGTTTTGTTCCTCTGCTAATTTCATGGTAGCTCTTTTTCTAATTCTTTATGCTGTTAAGTTTAGTTAGTGTGTTTTTTCAAAGTGTTTATAAGTTTAATTTATGCCATAATTTTTTGTTCATTTCTAAATATTTTCTAATTTCCTTTTTGCTCTGTTGGGTGTTTAAAGATGTGTTTAATTTTAAAAAACTATGCATCATTCCAGCTTTCCTTTTACTGATTTCTAACTTACTTTAATTGGTAACAGAAAAGGTACTTCATATATTATCTTTTAAAACCTACTGAGAAACTGTGACCTGATATATGATCTGTTCCAGAAAGTGGTCCATGTGCACGGGAAAGAAACGCACACCCCAATCCGATGGTCGAGGTGCTCTGTACAGGGTGTAGATCTAGCTGGTTTACTGTATCCTTCCAGGCCTTTGTTTCCTTACTTCTGTCTGGATATTGTATTCAACTATTGAGAATGGGCACTGAATTCTTCAATTACTACCATAGAATTGTCTATTTCTCCCCTCAAATCTATCAATAACTTTTAGGCCAATTTTTACTATAGTATTTGTCTACTTAGTCTTGCAGAAATCAAGCTACTACTTCATTGTTACAATAATGTACTTTTTATAATTACCATGTATTTACTTACACCTGTTTCTTCTCAAAATAGTATCTTCAAAATTGTATTCTGCCTGTAGTGAAGGCCTCTCAACTTTATGTGTGGGGTTAGATGTTTTCCTTTCTCTTCCATTTGAGAAGCTAACTTGCAATTGCAAAGTGTTGCTCAGCAGTCTTTCTCTCTAGGAATTTGAATACACCAGCCTACTGCCTTTAGCCTCCAGTCTCATCAAAGACCAAGGAGACTGCCAACTCCAAGTTCTCTCAACATAAAGAAACTTCTTCTCTTCTGCTGCTGAGTTCTGTGTCCTTGCGTCTCAGAACAGACTCTGGTCTTGGTGAGGTTCTCTTTGAGTTCATTCTACTTAAGAGTTCAGTTAAGATTTCTTGGATACTTATACTCATGTCTTTCATTAAATTAGGGCAGTTTGGGGCCATTACTTCTTTAAAAGTCCCCACTACAAAACCTACAATCTACTTGATGATGTTCCTCATGTCCTCTAGGCTCTAATCCTTTCAAACATTTTATAAATACTCAACAATTTCTGCTGTTTAGCTTTAAGCTCTGCCTCCAAATGCTCACTTCAGTTGGTGTAGTCTTCAGTTCCAGAGTCATCTTTGTGCTTTTTAAAAAGGTTCTCCTATCAATTTATTGTCATTTCCTTTTTCTCAGGTACTGTTTTATCTTTTCTACATTTTCTACTGTTCTTTAAGCATTTTTAACATTTGTCTTAAAAACTCTCACAGACCTGTCATTTGGTCTTTTAAAGGGACAATTTCTGTGGTTTATGTTTTCTTTGAATTGGCCACTGTTCCTTGTCTTTTTTGATTAGTTTTTAATTGTCTTATGACGTTTGCTGAAAATATACAGCAGCTCTGCCTTCAATAGGGAGCTCTGCCCTAGACAGATTCTGTCTGGACAACCATCCATGCTGCAACAGTTCTGCTGCTTCTCACTCCCCCATCTCCCTACAGTTCTTTCTACTCACAAAGCATTTCACTTTTTAGAGGTTTATTTATATATACACATGTGCTGTAAAAAAACAAAACAAAACATTTCCACATTAACATGCTAAGGACACAGATCCTTGAGAGGAGGTCACTGAATCTGCTCTGGGCTTGGTGTCAACTAACTACACAGTCATTTAATTAGGTGACCTTAGATAAGGAAAGGATCAACATACAGATTCTTAACATAGTATACAGTGCTGTTCTAAAATAAAATAAAAACAAACTAACAACAAGCAAAAAACAACCTTTGAAATTACCGCATCCTCAATGGAAGGAGACAGTCTGAATTCTTAGGAAGGCCCTAAAAAGTATGTCACAACATGGCCTCAGCCTACCAGTCTCTGTCTCATTTTACTTAATTTACTTTTTTCTGGATTTATATATTATATATTGTATGTATGAATCCTCTGTCTGCATGTATGCCTGCACACCACAAGAGGACATTACAGATGGTGTGAGCCACCATGTGGTTGCTGGGAATTGAACTCAAGATCTCCGGAAGAGTAGCCAGCGCTTTTAACCAATGAGCCGTCTCTCTAGCCCGTCTCTTTTCATTTTCATCACAAGTTCTGCCACACTAACCCTGTTCCTAGACGAAGAACCCTACTTTTTCTAGCATCTATGTTTGCTACCCTGACACTTCCTCACCCTGCTGTCCATTTTCAATTTCACACACAGCACTGCTTGAAGCTCAGGTCAATTCTGTTTCGCCGGGAAATCTTTTCAAAGTGTCACAGGGAAAGTGAGCTACTGCTCTTCGGAGAAAGGTCCATAAGACTTTTAAAATTTTATATTGATTTTGCCACCTTAATGCTTCTTATTCAGATTTGTTACTCATTTCCTAAAAACATTCATCAAGCATGCTCAATGAAGGTGCTGGCTTGCATACGAAACACAGGCACATACTACCTAGGGCATAATAAACACAGTTCTTGAGTCTATGCACAACAGGTTTTGATGACTCAGTCATTTGTAAATCTTTTGGTTAGTATTTTAAAAAACAATATATTGTAGTTAAAAACATCTAAATCTTTATTTGTATTTTTAGGTTTTGTCAGCAATCTTGTATAACTGTGTTCCAAGACATTCGGCATTTGTGCATCCACAGGGTCTACCCCGTATCTATTCACAAGACCAGCGACCCTGTCCCTTTCATGCACTGTCCCTTTCATGCACATGCCAAGCGTATTGATGCCTTTAAGCATAAGTAAATGAAACCATTTTATTAATTTTACTCTCATGTTGTTCTGAAAACACATCAACAAAAAATCAAAACCTGATTATTTTCCAACTTGGACAACAACCTCTCAGTATAATCTTCCCTACCTCCAAAGCTTTAATGCCATAAGAGGATTTCCTCGTGTGCTTTGAAAAACATTAACTGTAACAAATCACTTTCTAATGATGCAAGGTCAAAGAAAAAGTATCTGCTGTATTTTTCATTCCACCATGGTTCACGTCAGAGCCTGATGACATTCCCTGCTGAAGAATGTCAGCCTTTGCATCGTCACACTGAGGAAGAGTATAAAATGGGGCCAGATGTTTCACTTTTTTCATAGAACAAATTTAGTTAAGCCTGGGATGGAAAAAGACTTCTTTAAAATATCTCATCATGCAAAAAGTAAATTAGGCTCAAACTCTCAGACAAAACCTGCATTCTAAATTCTGGTTCTCGATTAAGCAAACCATTATCACTAAGTTTAACCCATGCTCATGAAAAGGCACATGGAAACCAGGCAGATTCAGGCTTAGTGGCAGCTGGGAGGCAAATCAGGGGACCGAGAGATGAAGGGCCAACCTGACAGCCTGGGCGACAGGGAGACCTACCCTCACAATTAGAAGGCATCTTGCTCACAGATGAGGGTCACACCTAGAAGCACCACAGTCCTCACAAATGTGAGGAACCAATCAAAAGCAGGTACCTGTGTCGGAGAATCTTCGCTCCAGGGCGTGGAGGTCAGGCAGCACGTGGATACAGTTAATGCAGCAATACGTGAAGAAGTCAAGGACAACCACTTTCCCACACAGATCCTTGTAAACGGAAAGAGGCTCTTCTGTGTTCAGCCATTCTAACCCTGGAATTTACAAGACACAAATTACAGCACTAAAGAAAGCAAGAAAGAAAAGGGGGCAATTTACCTAAACTCTCCATTAAAATGTGAGTCCTTTTTTCCTAAGATGAGTATAAATAGTCAAACACTTTAAGGGATGATAGCATTAGTTAAAGTCTGTGGCATTTGATTTTATTATTCTGTTTCTCCCTGGGTCTCTTTTCTATCAATAAGTAAGAGAACATCTTCATGATTTTAACAACGTAGGTATGTATGATTTAATGAAAAAGATCAACTAGGCAACTATGTGGAGATTAAAATCTCAGAGAGGGACAAACAGGAGGAGGGATGGTAGCAGGTTGAGAATGGATAATCGGCTATTATGAGGCAATCTGCAAGGTAGTAATAACAAAAACAGCATGAAATTTCTTCAGAAATGGCATTACAGTCTAGGGGAGGGATAAAATCAACACAATAAAGCAAGATAAGATTTTAAAAAAATATAACTACACAAATAATTAAGTATAAAAGCGATACTGAGGACAAGGGTCAAATCTGAAAAGCAGATATGGAAAAGATGGCGATGGCTGTGAGAGGAAACATAAAGTGCTTAAAATAATCTTACAAAAGAGAAGTCACCATATTCTAGAGTTGGACTAACAAACCCTAAATATAAAACAAAATATAATGAAGAAAATAGGAACTTAAAATTTGTTACTTTTTAATACAGAATTTATAATCAGTTGACACTGACTCAAAGTTTTAACTCTACTATGAAGATTTTGTTAAATTAAAAAGTATAGGATCCCTACTTAAGTCATCTAAGAAAACAGGGACACTTATTGCTTATAAGTAAATAACACAGCTATTAAAGTATTTAATTATACCTCGAAGTAGACAGAAATAGTTCAGAGAAACTAGGAGGCAAAGTTGGAGAGGAGACGCAGACAGAGTGGTCCGGCCTGCCTCCTTTCCATGGAGACCTGAACCTTGTCAGTGGACAGAGCATCTCTGCACACTGCACTCCTGAAGCCACTTTCACAGCTGGAGGTGAGGCAGCAAACTGCCGTTCCCTTTGCCTTGTTCACTAAAATTCATTCTTACTACAGCTCTCAGAAGCACAACAAGTAGCTGTTCTTTACCGAGCCCAGAAATTCCCCTTTTCACTTCCTGGGGGAACCTGATGGTCTCTCTGTGGCATATCCAGTAAACAGCATCTCTGACCCGGAATTTTGGAGCCATTATCAAGTGAAATAGGGATATTTGAGCACAAGCATTGTGTGCCCACAGCATTCACCAATCAAGACAAGGACTAATGACTGTGTCTACACCGCTGAGACATGGACGGGGTTAGTGTCAGGAACAGAAGGGCAACTTACATCCTGGAGAGGACGCGGGAGAGAAGCACACAGTTTCATCACGCTACTTAAAACAGTGTACAAATTAAAACTTAGGAAGAGTTTGTTTCTGGAATTTTCCATCTACTATTTTGAAGTGATTAACTATAGGTCCCTGAAATCAGACATGAAGGAGGCTAACCTAGCAAGGGGGACAGCCAACAATGAAAACTACAGTTAGTCCATTCTAACAAAATTGTAGAAAAGATTATCTCAAATCAAATTAGTATTTCCACCAAATACTCCACAAAGGGTTCAGGGTTCAGTGAACACTTAATCATTCCTTTTGATAAGTATTAGTTATGTATCTAATTTATGACACAAAGTTGTTAATTATACCAACTAATTAACATGGATTTCACATCCCAAGTGCAAGAAATTTAAGACTCTGTCTCTATAGGTTGTTAAGGTTCTATAGATTGTTAAGGGTGTTATTATATTTAGACACTGTGCTAGATGTTCACAGATTTAATGATAACAATGTATTTTAAGCAGCAATGACTACAATAAATACAATAAATGGCCACCTTAGTAAGTCTCCTTGCCTCCTAAGAATTTGCCCGAATTACCTCCCGCAAACAACCCTGTATAGTAGCATTGTTCCACTTTACAAGTGAAAAAACCAGACCTGGAGAAATCAAGTAATGGGTTCAAATGCAAAAAATTAACAAAGGAAAAAACAGGGGCCTAGTTTCAGGTCGGCCTGGATCCACCCGTTACATTGCAAATGGCAGTTTCTGTAGAATGGGTATATTCTCTGTTGGCCAGTAAACTACAATTGCTCTGTTCATTTTTTAGCATTCTGTCCTTAATAATCGGATATCAAAAACACAGCCTGATTGTTTTCTCATGAGTCTGACTTGAGTCACAGTGGTCAGGTATCATAGTAATAAGTAAACTGTTTTCTCATGAGTCTGACTTGAGTCACAGTGGTCAAATATCACAGTAATAAAGTCACTATAAAAACAAAACAGAAACGTTCTCCCAGAATTCTGGCGGATGGCTTGTAATAATGTATTTCCTACTTGCTTTATCACAAAATTTCCAGGAGATTTGTACACATCTGTATAAGTGTATTTGTTACTTGGACGTTTCTCTGATGGGATAAACACCCCCCCCCCCCAGCAATTCCACACTATTTAAATCCAGGATACTAAATAACGAAGGCTGGAAGGGGCAAGCCCCTCTCCAGTCCAGCGCAAAAGGGTCAGAGAGACATTCAAGAGTGTTGTGGGACGGAAGAGGCACCGAGACATCCTTCCTTCCGGGGGATACGCTACCCAGCCACAAGTAACCAATTAACTATGCATGTGGTTTCAGTGTCGCGCCAGGACGCAGGCCAACGCCAGCAAGCTCAGCCACCACAGTCCCAACCAAAGGCCCACACAGCTGCGGGTATCTGTTTCTCCCTCCTGTGCCAACGGTCCCCACAGCTGGGTTCAGGCCTGACTCCTACACCACAACTGGTTCCAACTTTTAAACTCCACGCGCCCACCACTGGAGCCAGGGTGGAGGAGCATCAGGTCTGAGGTCTGCGCAGCGCAGCGCAGCGCAGCTCCACTGCTGCTAGACGGG